CATTTTGGTATAACCGATTGCAACTGTGCAATAATTATGTTGATATTAGCTGTGATACTTATGGTATTTTTCTTACTGGGCTGCAATCGGAGTCGACTCTGGAGTGCCTTATGTAGACATTGTTCACTCGCTTCCGCTGTCGCAAGGTAATAGCCACGCTCCTGCACTCCCTCGGCGTAGAGGCGAACTAAACCTTCTCTAGTCGGAAAGCCGGATGCATCAACCTTTGGATAGAAAAACATATCCCGACACTTGGTACAAATTTGTTCCACTTATGCTACAAATAGATAGAGTATTTAATTAACTGCACGGGTTAAATATCGTTGAATAAGAAACGGAATGACTGTGAACTGTAAGTCAGAAGACTTGCACTGGAGCAGTTGCTATCGCTTTATTATTTAATGATATGTACCGATTTCCAATTACTGATAATGGTTATTTCATTTTATTCGTTATTTAAGGATGTTCTATCATCTGCAAATAATTTTTTGGAGGCGAATCATAAAATATGCTTCGAGAGACAGAAAAAACACAAAAACCTCAATCAGAATAGCGAATAACCACGCCAGGGGCTGAGGTTTGGGTTAGGTTAGGTTAGGTTAGATTAGGTTAGGTTAGGTTAGTATATTTTATGTTGACGTTACGTTAGGCTCGGTTGGGATGCGTTTCCTTTATCATTTACGTCAAACCTTATTCTTTACTATTTTAATTATTTTAATTGTATCTTTACTATATTCAATATCTTTACCATTATCTTGATTTTATAAGTTTTTTATTACCTCTTATATTTCTGTACCTTTGTAAATATTATATATAATCATTATCATTATGTGTACCTTATATTTAATATTATATTTATCAGTACATTAATGTTTTATTTAGCTCAAGTTCCACTGTTTATTCTTGTGTTTACTCTATGCTTATTATATTTGTGTACTGTGAAACAGGTTAATGGTTGTCGGAAAAGCCACTGTTTTTGAACCGGTCATTGAATCGGCAAAGGAGAAAATTAGTGGTGTAAGTAAAGTGGACGGTAAGAAAATACGTGGCTTGAATTTTAAAACGCCTTTTTCCATCGAAAATTAACCACTTTCACTCTACTGACTAGGTAAGAGCTTTGAAACTACACTCTCATAGTATCTTTCAAAAAAGGAGTGAAATTATCATATTTAAAAGACAGCAGTGTCATTCTTGTTCTTACAATTGAGGTGACGCAGTGAAAATGGAGACGCCAGTTTCTAATTCACATGCATATACTTTCTGATCTCTTATCCTCGACCACTCCGTGTACGGCGTGAAGAGACATTTTGTAGTTTCAGAACTTCACTTACTTTTATCGTCCTTCTACACAAAATCATGACATCTAAACATGCACTAAGCATTTAGATGACATCTGACACATATAAAGTATAGAACTGTACTTGTATTCCATCGATCATCGCAGCTGAATGGTTAGCACTGTTTTAGGGAGGTCGAGGATTCAAATCTCGGTCCCTAAACCCGATATCCTCATTGAGGTTTCTCATGGTTTTCCTTAATTCCTCGAGGCAAATCATGGGATGTTACTTTAAATTAGGCTACCATCGCTTCCTTCAGATTCATTTTCAATTCATTATTAGATGTTCTTTACGCTTCGACGTGAGCTAAGAACACATTATGGTCCCTTAGTTTTGAGGTTTTCACGGCAACGAGTATACAGATGGTTGTCTTCTGGGTTGTAGCGCCATGTAGTCTGGTAGTTCACCAGGTAAACTTTAACCAGACTACAGTGCGCGTAACCTCGAATACAGCTATCTTCGCAATGTGAGCCCGTTTATGTGTCTGTTGCGGTTTCAGACGCCCCTTAGGTACAAGACAACTGCGTCCCCAAGGCGCTTGCAGCGGTTTGCATTCCGAGAGCCCCCCAACAGGACTTCCACCCGAGGGTACCCCAACTGAGCTCTTTCTCTCCGATGTCTTTGCCTCACTTTAAGGGTTTAGCTCACAATGCTTACTTCTCATATCTCAGACTTTGGTATAAGCGGTATTGAACTTCCTGTTTCTGCTAGTGGAGAGGAAGATATTACATGTAATCTTCAGACTTCAGGCACACCAGTCAGTGTTTATAAAAGCAAATTTACACAATTTCTGTCCTTGCTATAACACTTGTAAGTGCCTTTAAACTAGCCTTCTTTAACGTGACACTAATTGACGCGCTATTAGGGAACAGCACGTCCGTATTTGTACTTTCACTAGAAACTGTGTACTTACCGCTCTCACTTTCTTGTAGACACACTGGAGAAGGCACTGTAACAGAAATATTCGTACATCAGTTGTCACAGACACTAATCGCTACTAAATATTGGCCTTCACGAGATAAGTGTCAGCGATTAAATAAAACATAAACATCTGGGTAATCGAACATTTAATATGCATTATTTGCGCAAACTGCTCGAAGTGAAAGCATATCAACCTGTATTTCTGCCAATATGTTTTATCTCCGAAACTGAAAATATTTCGATGAACTGAAAGTTTTCAGGTGAACTTAGTTTTTTTTTTTTGGGAATCACATTTTTTTACATTTTGGTTCTTACATTCTGGAGAATCACTGAATATATGCAATAAATGGCTTAATTTAATATATTCACAATCAAAATACGTTATTGTTTGTGTAACAACTTGTCTTTGTTCTTTTAAATATTCTGAAAATAAGGAAAGAACTTTAATAAATATACTCATATAAATAGGAACAAGCAAATAATCAGTGCGTTCTTCATATGATGTCATTCATACTGCTCAGTCACATCTGCATAAACCCGCAGGCTTAGTTTTTGCCTTCTTATTTTGTTGTCACGCAAGACTTACACAATGTATTGACGTAACACGTAACATAATATAATTAACCTACTGAGTGGATTTAATGTTCTGAGGAAAGGTTTTGAAACATATTATAAAAGAGATCGTTTCTTGAGTTAGCTGAAGAAAATGTTGAAGTTATGCCTATGTTCTTTACAAAAATTACATCAAATGGACACGTCATGTGGCCTATTTACTTGTAAATCTCCCTATCCATTTGTCTGGAGAGTTTAAGAAAAGTTAATAAGAGCCTTTACTGTCAGCTTTCCGTATTTCATAACAAGACGGATACTTTCGGTATCTTGTTCGTGTGTCCCTCTGTGTTCGCAAATAACTTTGGATCCAGATGGAAAGATTTGCTGAAACTGCTTTTCGTGTCCTCAGAAACGTGCATAAACTTGGAATATTATTATTCAGTGTTCTGTCTGACGACAGGTCCATATGAACAGGATCCTTCCATCCTTTTCTCGGACTGGGACCTGTTCATATACGTTCTTGGCAGATGATCCAGAAGTGGTTTGCCATTGCCTTCTTCTGTGTGTGAATGGAGTAATTGTTGGGATGCCACGGAGGAAAACTCCGTGTTGCCTAGACCACGGCCTTGCCCAACACAAGTTATAAATTCGGGCACCTCCGGGAATCGAACCCGAGACCCCCAGGATTACAAGGCCAGCGTTCTAACCGCTAGACCACCGTGGCGGCAAACTTGGAATATAGACACTTATTTGTTGGTTGTTTAAAATTTAGTGCGATTAATGCATAAAAATTAACTAAAATTGTAACCTCTCTTCGAACAGTGAGATGTAATTTCTTAATTTACTGATCGTAACTTCCCATTTGATAAAAGTAATTTTTGAGGTTCCCCACTTCTGTAGCGCTGATAGACAACAGCTTACCCCAGCAATCCTCCGCTCATCTTCAGAAAATGTCTGACGCTTTGTTCTCGACGTCAGCACGGCAGTAGACGCTTCCAAGTCAACCAGCGCTTCTGCAGACGAACAGATTGTTTAATGTACATGAACACATGGTACGGGATCTTGATAAGGCTGAAGATTATTAAGCTGGCCAAAAAATTTTCCGCCTTTATGGATTCCGAAGATTCATCAAAGTGTTTACACATTAGATCCTAATTGTTTAATTTTAACCGTCTAATCACAATAAAATATTTTATTAAATATTAAAATATTATTACTACAATTAACATTTAATATTTAAAATATTTAATAATATTGTGATGATAATAATTGTTTAATTTTAACCGTCTAATCACAATAAAATATTTTATTAAATATTAAAATATTATTACTACAATTAACATTTAATATTTAAAATATTTAATATTTTATTGTGATTAGACGGTTAAAATTAAACAATTATTATCTGTTGTTCTGTACTTTAATTTTTCTATGTTCTGTGTATTTGTGAATTCTGGCCTTCGGGTGTTTGCCTCTTCGTTTTTACTTATTTCTTGGTTTGTTGGTTCTTTGGGTACTTGTCTATTGAATTTATCGATTTTTGTTTATTGTTTGTAGTTTCTTGGTATGGATCTTCTGTTTGATTTCTTGGTTCTTTTGTTAGACTTCTGAAATTTTGGACACACACATAAGCTGACTCAGACAATTTCTGTTTTAAACATAAGATATATAGCTACCTTCAGTATCAAAGGGCCTTCGTGTAGCTTTAAAATGTAATGAAAGTTGGAGCTAGGTTTTTAAAACTAGAGATGAGATGCATCAGGACACGCTGGTAAAACGAACAAAGCTGGTTCCTGGAGATATACAAATCTCATTGTCAGTGATGTGAGAATAATACTTATGAAATGAGGCAGCCCCTTGTAGTACATCCAGCCCGTTCAACACTAAAACGTGACCCGGGGATGGGGTGACGGATAAGCACCTTCGTGCAGAGCATCAGGGGCGTACAAAATTGTCTCCGAGCGCGAGTGTTACGTAGAATACTACTGAGCTTCAAGCACTGCTCAATTAAGGCGCATGTATGTTTTCCTAACGTGTTCCTTGATATTGGTATTCTCACACCATATTTCTTTGTGGTTACTTTAAATGTTTTATTTCCCACTTAAGCCTCGGTCTGCCAAGTTGCATCTTCTCACCAGATTCTACTTCACCGGCGACTGCTGCATTGCTTTCGATGCAGATCTGTTTTAAGAGTGAGGTTGAGTCTTATTGGTTATTCAAGTGAAAATTAAATTTCCTGAAGACGACTGCCTTCTAGCTTGCTGTACTGTTTAATCTCGTATATATTCACCGACGTTTCAGAGCTGCTTACTGCGTCCATCACAAGGGTAATACCCAATGACAGTCAACTTCATATTCGCTTCCGTGAGAACCGGAAATCTCACATTTATTTCCACTTATTTATAAAAATTAGAATCGAAACTTCCAGACTTGAAGATGGAGACATTGTAAAGAGAGACCAGTCCGCCAATTCCACACCGCCCCCTAAGGGAGTAAACCCCGAACTGGCTGTCTGAGGTTCGGAGTAATTGGTAAACTAATTAGACCTCCAATGCTCTGGTATAATGCCTTCAAGACATCGGCTACCACAGACAGCCCGCCCCACAGTTACTTGCCCACACCAAGTGATATTCTCTGAGACCTTAATACGACGCGTTAGTCCTCATACTTCAGGGAGGGGGGGCATAAATTATGGGCTGCCGAAAGGATTTACAAACGACCCCTGAGTAGATGCTAATCTCTTAGAGTACCCTCATGCTCCACCCCAAACTACAACATCCCTTTCGCCTTAGAGTTTTGGGGGCAGCAGTGTACAGCGTGACGTAATATATAAATCTGGGGCAAGAGGAGTCGGGTTGAAAAGGGGGGGGGGGCATTTTGATTAAGGAGCAGTTAAGGATCAGATAACCACAAACCATTTCAGTTTTGACCAGTTGAGCTGGTATCAGCTTCTCAACAACGATTATACTCCCTGGAGCTTGTGTCTTACATTCCATAACATAAAGGCAGTTTCCATTGCACTTAATTAAGTACCACGTCATAAAGGGTGGTACAGAGAAATGAGTTATAGCTTCATGAATTTTTAAACTCCGTGCTTGATGGAAATACGAGGTCAATTTCATGCCTAACGCAACTTAAGTTCGTCTTTTTCACTGACTAGATAACCTATACGAATCACATATCCTTAGAATGTGACGCGCCTCTAAACACACACGAAGATAGCAAACCCATTTAGTTTCCTGAGCTCTGAACTATTTCTTTCTCTGAGTTAATATTGTATACACAAGGAATAACATTTTCCTTGTATTGGGGGCGAGGAAATTAATTTTACAAACAGCAAGCCGTTTAGCAGAGACGTGCAAAGATTTCAAATTTTATTACTCTCAACCCAAGTAAGCAATTTTCGTCCGGAGAAATGTAGGAATGTGTTGCGGAGAGAAGAGATACAAATTTAAATGAAAAAATTCCCTTAAGAAAATGTTGTTTTTTTATAAAAATTCCAATTTAACGAATATTCCAAGATATACAAGGGTTTTTCTCAGCATCTGATTGTTACTCAGTGTGTCTACCACACTCCTTGAACTGAAAGGAACAATACTCATCACCGTGTTAAAAAAATCACACAATTGACGCTGTCCTGAGCTGGCTGAATGCACTTTACCATACTTTCGGCTAACTCTGCTGTTAATTCTGGAATAAAGTTTCTTCATATCTGAAACATTGTTATGTATATTATAAGTGGCATCTGTTTACGTGGACACTGGGCACATTACACAGGTCAACTTCAAAGATACGTGTATAGGTTATTATCGCCAGAGTATAAGCTTAATATACCACGCCAATGGTTCTCATCCTTCATTAGGTGTGGGAGCACTTGTTATATTTAAATTAACAAGGCTAGAGGTGCACTCAGGACATGTTTACAACCTCACTAACGGGACCCTCCCGTGCAAATACTCCTGCGAAACGCATAACAGATATTACACATATTCACAGAAAAGGACGTCATAATTCACTACATACGTACGCCACAAGTTACACTCAGTAGTTTTATTTAGACCTGCATTAAAAAGTATCACGCGAAATTTAAGTATCTCATGGCGGAAAGTGTGAAGATAACAAACAGTCTTGTGGGACGTTGTGCCGCGTAGTCTGGTAGAACTTTACCGACGTATCAGAGGTGCTTACTGCCATAATAATCAGTAAGCAACTCTGAAACGTGGGTAAACTAATACCAGACTACACGGCGCAACATCCCACAACATAACCATCTTAGATATGCAAGTCGACCTTGCACGTCGTGCACATTTTCCTAGCTCCCTCCAGGCGAATTCCGCTACACTGCCTTAAAAACAGGCCACGATCGACTATCAGACCGTTACCTACACAACGTGAATTATATTTCGAGAGAGGTAAACTTGAAAACGAGGGTAAAAAATGTAATTCTGCAAGCAAGAAATCTTTTTTGCTACTTTGGAATTCGATAAATGAAGATAGGTTACGTTGGGTTGGGTTAGGTTACGTTAGGTAGGTTAGGTTAGGTTCGGTTAGGTTAGGTTAGGTAGGTTAGGTTAGGTTAGGTTGGGTTAGGTTAGGTTAAGATTGCTTAGTAGATTTTATTAGGTTAGGTAACGTTTTGAAATTTTTTGTGACGTTTTGACACTCACAGCCACATCTAGTCACGCCGTTACAGTAAGTCACGCCTAGTCACGCCTAAGCACGCATGGTCACGCTTAGACAAAATTTGCAAATCTTCGTCGTATTTTAACTCTTAAGGTGATCTCTCATCAAGCCTTTATTGCAGGTCACGCCTAGTCACGCTTTGTCACGCTTAATCACGATTTGTAAATCTCCAGCATTTTTCGACATATTTGGTGACCCCTTGTCACGACGTGAGGTCATGCTTAGTCACGCTATGTCACACTTGTGCACGCGTGGTCCCTAAGTCACGTTTCGGCACGCTTACGTTATGTTTCGTAAGTCTCGGTTAATTTTGGCTACTTTGCAAAACATTAGATTAAGTTTCGACATGTTGGGTTAGGTTAGAAATGTTCGCTTGTATTAGGTTATGATAGGTTTATTTATATTAGGTTTGGTTATGTTAGATTAGTTTGTTAGGTTATTTAACGTTTTTAAAATCTTCGTAGCGTTTCGACACTTATGGCAACATCTCGTCACGCCTAGTGACGCTTTGTGACGATTGGTCACACTTTGTAAATCTTTGTCACATTTCGACACTTATGGTGATCCCTTTTCAGGACGTCAAAGCACGTCACGCCTGGACACTTTTCGGCACGGTTACGTTCTGTTATGAAAGGCTCGGTTAATTTTTGCTGATTTGGAATACGTTAGATGAAGTTTCGACAGGTTAGGTTGGGGTAGGTTAGGTTAGGTTATGTTATGTTAAGTTAGTTTAGATTATGTTTAGTTAGGTTATGTTAGTTCGTTGGTTTATGTAATAATATTTTAATATTTAATAAAATATTTTATTGTGATTAGACGGTTAAAATTAAACAATTATAATCATCACAATATGACGCAACATTATCATCTCACATTAGATCCTGTTATAGGCCAATTGTATCTAGCCCATTCCTCAACCCCATTTTTTTAAAAAAATATTTTCAATGGTAGTTCTATTCTCCAGTGTACACTTTGGTCTCTTTTTTCCAGACCAAGAATTTTTTTGTAAACATAGCTTGTATTTTGAAATAGGCCTATATATCAGTGTCGAAAGTAGCAGTATTTAGTGCATGTCAATATTAGGTCTGATGATCAGGTCCTTCCAATTCATAAATCACCGATACTCACGGTTAAATAAACATAGAATCAATAGGCTATTCTCATTACATTTGATACTGCACAGTCACACAGCTGTAACATCGTCGTCAAAGAACCCAGAGCAATAAATTACAGTGTCTTGGATGATAAACTTGTGTATACATATTTACATACATTTTTATTCGTTTGTGCAATATTTGTTCATTCAGTATAAAATTAGTCAATCAAAGGTATGTCTTGTTTTCATCTCCATCATGCATGCTGCATGTCTTAAGTTCTGTTACTCTCCTGTTAGTTCCTCTTTCTACGTTCTTACCTAGATAGGGACCAATTTCAGACAAAAAAACAGGTTAATTCGACAGAAAAGCAGAATAAACGAGTAT